ACACACACACACACACACACACACACACACGACCAGGGCAAGGTCTGAAAGGTGAGTTGGAAGATGCCCTTCAAGGTTATGGAAAGAAGTTAAGAGTCTGATTCAGAGAGCAATGAGAGGAGGTCAAGAGTAGAGTCTGGGGTTAAAATAGCTGGGAGGCTCCCCTTGAGGTAGCTGGACCAGGGGAAATGGTTCCCAGAGAAGTCAGTCTCCAGGGGACCTGACTATGGCTGGCTGGGCCAGCTGCAAACACACACACTGATCACAGTGAGGCTGTGACCCGTGGAGTTCCACGAGCTGTCAGGACACAGTGGGTCTGGACCACCAGCTTTGAAGCACGAATCTGAAAACCTCTGATGAATGGCACAGGATGGGTGAGAGAGTCACCACCGTGGCAGTGAGTGAACCTGCAAACTCACCAGCAGGCCAGCACCAGATTTTGTCATTCCCTGGCATCCAGCACGGCTAGACAAAACTCCAGGAAGGGTGCCCACTTACTCATTTACATGAGAGAACTAGGCGACTTTCACAAAGAGAAACAACTTCCTAATGTCACAGGTCCTGCCTTTAGTTCTCAATATGACAGAAAAATGGGGATATTTGAAGCAGAGCCTATGAACTAGATATACTGAACTAGATGTACTTTCGGTCTTCATTGCTATATACTCAATGGTCTGCTTCTAATTTATCATCTGAAAGTATGAAATAAAGTAATCTGATGCAGTGGGTAACTTGTACCGAGAACAGGTATTGGCAGAATACACTGATTCCCACACCGGGTTCACAATAAAGAGATACTCACAGACTGAAGTTTCTTCTTAGCAGCTTTTGCCAATTCAGACAAATCCAGGCTGCTAAGAAAATGTACAAAACTAATAAGCAAATAAATAGAACCATGTTTGTGAGCTCTGTAGATTAAGATACCCAAGGGATGAAAATATTAGTTATAGTTCACGGACACACTGAGTCAAGCATTCTATGGCCCAAAAGAGTTCGTGAGGAAACCGAAACAACATGTCAGAGTGATTCATTTCAGAAGTACAGTAGTCATATCACATATGATAAAGAGAAAAAAATCACCCACCAACTAAATGACAAAAGCTACTGTCAGGTTAATTTCCAGGTCCTTATTATGTGAGGAGTCACAATTATTATCTTTTTGGTACTAAAGATTTAACCCAGGGGTGCTTAACCACTGAGCTATATACCCAGCCCTTTTTATTTCTTAGAGATAGAGTCTCATGAAGTAGCCTAGGGCCTGGCTAAGTTGCTGAGGCTGGCCTCAAACTTTCAATCTTGCCTCAGTGTCTGGAGTCACTGGGGTTACAGGCATGTGACACCATGCCCAGCTATAATTTTTGAAGTACTAAAAAAAAAAAAAAAAAAAAAAACAAAAGAAAAGGCAAGATAGAAGAAAATATAAAAAACGAAAATATGAAAAACTGGAATGGCAAGATTACACCTGGAACAGCAGTTAATCATTTCATAACTCTTGACATTATTTGTGCAAAGGTAACTGGCTAAATAGGGCTTAAGGTTCATCCCTGTAAGCAACAAACTAATTACAATTCAGGGGTCGGCAGATTATGGCCTACTTTTTGCTTAGCCCATGAATTAAGAATGCTTTTTTATATTTTTAAATGATTGGGGGATAAAAAAAAAGGAAGAACAACATTTCATAAGATATGAAAATTATATGAAATTCAAATTCCAGTGCCTGGAAAAAAATTTTCTTAGACAGACATGCCCATTCATTTAGCGTCCCCAGATGCTTTCATGTAAAATGGCAGAGTTGAGGGGTTGCAACAGAAGCTGCAAGGGGACCTTGATAAAGTTTTCCAACCCCAGTTATAGAAAAAGAATATCATCTCTAATGGTACAAAAATATTTTGTGAATATGATCTGTTGACACAATGTACTATCACAACTGTGTAAAACAGTGACACTGACTCCAATTTCCTTATCAGTAAATTTGTTACTGTGCTCTTTTAAACTAAAGTTTGATAGGTGGTTTACTTACAGACGTCTTATTTCCAAATTGTATAGCCATAAAAGAGAAAAATGTATGGGCTTTGTTAAACACAAAAATATGATATATTTAAATACTATATTACCGAGGAAATACTGGGGGCAGGTACAATTGATTGATCTTTTGAGGGTCTTACCTGTCTGCCATTTGAGGTATTATAAAGTGCTGTCCGTTTTTGTGATCTGAAACAAAAAGCAAAGTTTTGGTCATATAAAATATGAATAGGACCTATAAAGGAATACCACCATTATTTTCTCAATATAAGCTTCACAATTAGCATTTTTTTTTGTAATTATGAATCATGTGGGGAAAAGAAGTTGCCGGATTGGCTATAAATTCCTGAGGACATGGGTGGTACGGAGGATACAGTCTTGTTTTCCTTGGTGTGCAGGTCTAGACACCCAGTAGAAGACAATGCTCACTGTAAACCTTAGGCTTGTTCACCCCAGGGTGAGCGATGGTCCTGAGCTGTGGAGGAATGCTGAGGGGGTAGAATTAGCTCACAGCAGGCTTCTATCACTTCACTGTGTGGGACCCTGGTGCTTCAGTGAGCTTTGGTAGCTTCTTCAAATTATTGAAGACAGGGCTTGGGCAGGTGGCCTTTGCAGATTCAGAGAGAAATTCCATCTCCCAAGATGCTGACTGACTTGGTCCTATTCTAGCTTTGGAGGATGCTGGTCCACATTCCAACAAATAAAGCTGTTATAGGCATCTACACAGGCTTTTGTGTAAGTTGTATTTTTCTTGAGTAAATACCTAGGAAGGGACTGCTAGGTTATATGGTAAATGTGTGTTTAACAGGGTAAGAAGCCACTAGACTTTTTCCCAGAATAGCTCTTTTATTGTGTGTGTGGTGCTAGAGATTGAACCCAGAGCCACTCTATTGCTGAGCTACATATCCAGCCCTCTTAAAAATTTATTTTATTTTGAGATGGGTTCTTTCTAAGATGCCCAGGCTGGCCTTGAATTTGTGATCATCCTGACTGAGTTGTTGGGATTGCAGGCATGTGCCACTACACGGGGATAGCTCTATCATTCTGTATTCCAAACAGCAACCTACGAGAGTTATGGTTGCTCTAGCTCTTTCCCAACACTTGTATTGTCAATTTTAGGTTTACTTTGTTTTAAAAATTTTAGTCATTCTAATAAGTATGCTGTGGGACCACATTGTGGTCTTAATTTACATTTCCCAATTGGCTAATGATTCTGAGATTATTTCTTTGTGCTTATTTCTTTGCCACCTACATACTGTCTTTGTCCAAGTTTCTCTCCTTTCTCCTGGTGTCTGTGTTCTTAAGGCTGGTACTGTCTCAGCTTCCAAAGTACTGGGACTACAGGTATGTGCTACCACATCTGTCTCTGCCCAAGTTTTTATTGGGTTGTTTTTTTTCTTACTATTGAGTTTTTTTTTTTTTTTTAAGAGAGAGAGAGAATTTTTTAATTTTTTTTTTTTAGTTTTCGGTGGACACAATATCTTTATTTTATTTTTTGTGGTGCTGAGGATCGAACCCAGTGCCCTGCTCATGCCAGGCGAGCGCGCTACCGCTTGAGCCACATCCCCAGCCCCTTACTATTGAGTTTTAAGAGTGCTTTAAACATTCTAAATACAAGTTCTTTCATTTTGTTTGTGGGCTGGGAAAAAATTCTGGGCTTACACATCCTATCCCTTAGATACATATTTCTTATTGAATATGTGATTTCCAAATATTTTCTTCCAGACTGTGGCTTGTTTTTTTCATTCTCTCAACCACAGTTTTCTCAGAGTAAGTGTTCAATTTTGATAAAGCCTTCCACTGTGAGCTATATTCCCAGCCTATTTTTTTAAATTTTGCTAATGTATTTATTAGGACATTACAGCTATACAGAGTAGTGTGGTATATTTTGACATATCCATAGATGCATATAACACAATTTGCTCCCTTTCAATCCCCAGTACTTCCTCTTTCCCTTCCCCCCTTTACCTGATCCCCTTCCTTTATCTACTGAACTTCCTTCCACTTATTTTTTTAAATTGATACATTGTACATAAAAGTAGAATTCATTGTGATACATTCATACATGCACATAGCATAGTTTGTTCAATTTCATTCCATGGTTCCTCCCTTTCCCATCCCTCCTCCTCCCTCTCTCTCCTTCTTCCTCCATTCTATTTTCATGAGATCTCCTTCTTAAAAACTCCTTATTTTTCTCTAGCTTCTACACATAAGAGAAAACATCTCACTCTTGAGTTTCTTATTTCACTTGGCATGATATTCTATAGTTCCATTCATTTATCAGCAAATGCCATTATATCATTCTTCTTCTTTTTGTTGTAGTGCTGGGGATTGAACCCAGGGTCTTGCGCACACTAGGCAAGGCTCTACCACTGAGCCACATTCCCAGCTCAAGTTCATGCTTCTTTACGGCTGAATAAAACTCTATTGTGAATATATAGGTGACATTTTCTTTATCTATTCGCCTGTTTTTGGGCACTGAGGCTGGTTCCATAACTTGTCCATTGTGAATTGTGCTGTTATGGACACTGGTATGCATGTTTCAGTTATATAGTTATATAGCCTATGCTAATTTCAGTTCTTTTGGATAAATACCCAGGAGTGGGACAGCTGGGTCATATAGTGGTTCTAATTCCAATCTTCTGAGGAATCTCCATACTGCTTTCCAAAGTGGTTATACTAATCTTCAGACCTAACAACAATACAGAAGTGTAGCTTTCTCCACATCCTTGCCAGCAATTATTGCAATTTGTGTTCTTGATGATTGCCATGTTAACTGGAGTGAAAGGAAATCTCAATGCAGTTTTGGTTTGCACTTCCCTGATTGCTAAGAAGCTACAGTAATCAAAACAGCCTGGTATTGGCATAAAAATAGCCGTGAAGACCAGTAGAATAGAAGACAGAGACAAATCCACAGAGATAGTCATCTGATTCTTTTTTTTTAATATCTTTATTTTGTTTATTTTTTATGTGGTGCTAAGAATTGAACCCAGTGCCTCACACATGCTAGGCAAGTGCTCTACCACTGAGCCACAATGCTGGTCCCCATCATCTGATTCTTGACAAAGTGATAAAAATATAGGTTGGAGAAAAGATAGCCTTTTAAACAAATGGTGCTGAGAAAACGGATATCCATGTGTAAAGAACTCGCTCTCTCAACCTGCACCAAAGATCAATTCAAAGAGGATCAAACACCTAGGAATTAGACCAAAAATAATGGAACCGCAGTTAGAAGAAAACTAACGCAATGGTCAGGCACCATTCTTCCTGAATAAGACTCCTAAAACTCAAGAAATAAAACTGCGAATCAATACATTAGATGGTCTCAAATTAAAAAGCTTCTGCACAGCAAAGGAAACAAGATGGTGGTAACAGATCCTCCAGGATGAAAACAAATCTTTGCCAGCTATTTTTCTGACAGGGGATTAATATCCAAAATATATTAAGAACTCAAAAAAAAAAAACCAAAACACTAAAAACCCTCCAAATAACCCAATCAATAAGTGGGCAAATTAGCAGATATTTCTCCAAAGAATAAATACAAATGGCCAACGAATACATGAAAAAATGTTCAACATCTCTGGTTCCTGTTTCTTACTAATCTTTTAATGTTTGATTTTGTTTTATTTTAGCGATATTCCCATCTGTATATTCTTCCTTTTTTGCTAGTATGGCTAGACATTTATCAATTTTACTGATCTTTTCAAAGAATCAGTTTTCGGTCTCATTAATTTTTCTGCTTTCTTTCCTCTTTCGATTTCACTGATTTATGCTCTTTATCATTTCTTGCTTTCTGCTTGCTTTGGGTTTATTTTATTCATCTTTTTCTAGTTTCTTCAGGGGGAAACTTTTGATAGACCTTTCTTCTTTTCTAATGCAAGAATTAAAGGTTATAAAATATTTTTCTAAAGCATTACTTTTGTTGTATTTCACAGATTTTGATAGGTCATGTAGTTGAAAATATTTTCTGATTTCCCTCAAGACTTTCTTTTAGACACATGGATTATTTAGAAGCATGTTGTTCAATTTCCAAGCACCTGAGATATTACAGTTTTATTTTCATTGTCCCTTTCTAGCTTAATTCCATTATGATCAGCAAATATATTTCGTAGTATTTTAAATCTTTTAGATTTGCTAAGTTTTGTTTTATGACCCAGGATATGGTTTCCCCTCTTAAATGTTCAATGTATACTTGAAGTGTGGGTATTCTGATGTTGGGTTCAGAATTCTAAGAATGTCAATTAGATTGAGTTGATCTTTCATTTGGTTTAGATTTATATCCTTACTGACTTTCTACCCACTAGTTCTACTTATTGTTCAGTCTCTAACAATATTTGTGGATCTGTCCTTTTCTATCAGCTCTATTGAGGTCTGCTTCATATAACTGGAAGCTCTGTTGCTGGTTATGGACAATTTAGACTTATGTCTTGGTGAACTGACCCTTTGATCATCATTTTATGTTCTTTCTATCTGAGGTCTACTTTGTCTGACATGAATACATTCTCTCTAGCTGTCTTTAACTTATGGTTTGTATGGAATGTTTTTGTACATCTTTTGGCATTTAATTTTATCATTATATTTAGAGCAGGTTTCTTGTACACAGCATATAGCTCAATCTTTTTTTTTAAATTGGTGTATTTAGAACATTAATGTAATTATTGCTATATCTGGATTTACGCCTATCATTTTATTATTTATTTTGCTTGATTCTCAGATTTCTGTTTTCCCTTTTTATTTAATTTTTTTTTAAGACGGGGTGGGTGGATGTAGGGGTGGGGATTTTGCTATGTATGTTGCCCAGGCTGGTCTTGAACTCCTGGGCTTAAGCAATCCTCCCAGCTCATCCTTCTAAGTAGCTGGGACTATAGGATAGCCATACACCACCATGCCTGGGTTAAATATTTTCAATCAAAATATCTTTTGACCATCCGAATAATTTCTAACATTCCATTTTAGTTTATCTTTACAGTTTTTGACAACTTTTCTCTTTTAAGTGGTTATGCAAGGGATTACAATATATTTACTTAACTTCTCACAGGCTACTAAGAAATAATATTTTACCATTTTAAGTACAATGTAGAAATATTATCGTATTTCTTTATTCTTTTCCTTTTCCTACTGTGGCACGATACTGACATATTCTATACATCTACCTGCTAATCATGTCTTTCAACTCTCACATGTACTTATAGAATTTAAGAGGAAAACACAATCCATTATATTACCTTGGTACTTATTTCTGCTGATCTTTTTCATTCTTGAAGTTCCAAGATGCTCTTTGGTATCATTTCCACCCAAAAAATATTCCCTAGAATTTCTATTAGCACAATAAATTATTATTTTACTTCACCTTAGAATGTCTTTATTTTGACTTCAAAAGGTCATTTGCATTGGATATAGAGTTCTGGATTGACAGTTTTTTTTTTTTTTTTCTTTTTTGGTACTGGTGACTGAACCCAGGAGTGCTGTCCAATTGAACTACATCCCCCAGTCCTTTTAATTTTTATTTTGAGGAAGGACCCCACTAAGTTGCTGAGGCTGGCCTTGAACTTGTGATCCTTCTCTCTTAGCCTCCCAAGCTGCTGGGATTACAGGTGAGCACTATAACATCCAGCAATAGTTTCTTTCTCTCAGAGCTTTAAAAATATTTCTGCATTTTCTTCTCATCTTCATGGTTTCTGATGAGAATAAGGATGACGTTCAAAAAGTTTGGTGTTGTGGGACATTCTGATTACAGATACTTAATTGGCGAAATCTATGCAAATATTCCCAAATCTAAAAGCTTCCAAAATCAAAAACATTTCTGTCCCAGATAGTTTGGATGAGGGATGCTTAAGCTTTAAAGTGTGTTGGATTTTTTTTTTTTCTGGCTGCAGTCAAGAAGGTTCCTCTAAAATCTTAGCTTTCTGCAGTTTGGTTTTGAAGTTCCAAACATGGCTTTCTTTCAGTTCATCATCTTGGGGGTTTGTTGAGGCTCTTGAACCTGTAAGTGTCTTTGACAAATTTTTAGAGTTTTTGGCCAATATTTCGTCAAATATTTTTTCTGAACAACAGTCTTTCTCATCTTTGTGGAAGTCCAATGATACCAATGTCAGATCTTCTGGTACTTTTTGATTTGTCTCTGAGGCTCTGTTTAGGTTTTTCTCCTTCCCACTGCTTTTCCAATTGCTCCAACTGGATAATTTCTAGTAATTTATTTTCAGTTTGCTGACTTTTTTTTTTTTTTTGATATCTCTCAGCTGCTATTAAGCCTACTCAGTGAGTTCTCTTACCTTTTTAGAGCATGGTTTTACCAGCTTCTTTAATAGGTGATAATTTCAACACTTACGTCACCTTGGGGTTGCTATCTATTGACTGCTTTCCTGAGATTTGGTTCTTCATCAGTTCAGTCTCTACAGATGGTACTTGGATATTTTTAATATTAAGTTGTGAGACTCTGGGCCTTCTTTAAACTCTATGGAGAATGTAAACATTTTGTTTTAGCAGGCAGAGCAGGTTGGGTTCTGCCTGTGGGGCAGGGTGAGAGAATGGGGAGAAAAAGAAGAGCAATCTAGACTTCCTAATGCCTCTATCAGACATTTAGGCAACTGTGTACCCACGGGCTTGCTCCTGGGATGGGAAGGAACAGAAAAAGGAAAGAAGAAAAAACCCCAGGGGAATCCCCTACTCTTAGTCTTGTACGAGTCCCATTTACTGCTCTTTAGACCAGAAAGAGAGGGCTTCTTTGCACTCGTTATGCAGTTCCAGGTCTCAGGTTGCCACTCACTCATATCAGAAGTAAAACAAACAGGACCCTCAATACCAGCTTGATGGCACTTCAAGTTCCTTAATCCACCACTTGGATTTTACTTACTCTTCGGAGTCCTTAGAGAGCTGCCCTGAGCATTTGGTCCAGGGTTTTTAGTGCCAATCCCCAGGAGACAGGATGGGGTGTGACTACTCCATCTTACTCAGTGGTGAAAGTGCACCAGGGGCTCTTAACTCTACTGTACAACCAGGGTAGATAACCATCATGGACATGTATGTGGACATTATGATCAGGCATTGGCAAACTATGCACAGCTCTGAACAGTAAATATTTTAGGCTCTGTGGTGTCCTGTGACAATACATCCTATTCAACTCTGCCATTGTTGTGTGAAAGCAGCCACATACAAGATGTGAGTGAGTGGTCCGTCTAGTTTGCAATCAAACTTTTTTTTTCAGCAGGGTGGGTGGGTACTAGGGATTGAACTCAGGGTTACTCAACCATTGAGCCACATCCTCAGGCCTATTTTGCATTTTATTTAGAGACAGGTCTCACTGAGTTGCTTAGCGCCTTGCTTTTGCTGAGACTGGCTTTGAATTCACAATCCTCCTGCCTCAGCCTCCCGAGTTGTTGGGATTACAGGTATGCACCACCATGCCTGGCTTGCAATTAAACTTTAATGAAACAGGTGACAGGCTGGGTTTGGTTTACAGACCATGGTTTGCAGATCCCTGTTCCCTATCACAAATAAGATGATTAGATACAGGTAAAATCACTTTTGGACTTTTTTCTATCCTTAGCAGAATTCTTCAAATTCAGTACAAAAGTTGTTGTTTTGCTCTTCCTTTGCTAGTTCCATGACGTTCAAGTACCGTGGAGCACATTCAACACTGGGATGATTATGCTCTTTGATTCTGGAGAAGCCACTTCTCCAGAGGTAAAAGGAAGTTTTACAAACTAAAAGTTCAAAGAGATTTAACCAACTTTGTATCTTTTACATAGAGCTGAAAATTCAACCATCATCTTTTCCCTATAAAGAAATTACTCCCAATTTTCTGAAGGACATTAAAGAAGAGGAGGTCATAAAAAATAGTGTCCTGTCTTGTTTTCCCAGAACCTTCCAGAGTGGAGGTGTGGTGAGGCCGTTAGCCTTTCACTCACCAGGTTTCCTGCCGCAGAGATAGAAGGCCAGTCTGTCTGTTAGCTCGTACTGTATTTCCACAAGGCGTTCTGCCAGCTCATGGTGCCCTCCTTGCCTACCAAGAGAAAACAAAGTACCATTGATATCACTCAGGATTCACTGGCTGGAGAGTAGGAAAGTACAAACACATCCCCTGAGACACCTGAGCAGCTTAGCAAACATGACTTTTTAGAATAATCAACCTTTTTTTTGGTGAGATAGATTGTTAAGATCTACTTTGAGTCCTATTTTTATAAATTGTTTATAAAACAATTTGAACTATCCATTTCCTTTATTAATTCACAAAACAGAATACTTAATGGGAAATTCAAAGACTCATGAGAGATTTAAAGAAAGAGGTTCCAAAAAATTAATTGGAGTGTTTCTAGAAACATACGATGTCCAGACCTCATCCTTGGAAATTCTGAATCATAAGACTGGGATGGGCCTGGGCATTAATATTTTGAAGAAGGTCTTTCCCTTGGATGATTCTGAGGCAGCCAGTCTACCTCTGGATGACTCTAGAAACCACTTCTAGAGCTACAATTAGGCAGAGACAAACCAACCAAATGCAAAGCTCAGATCTAAGCTACTTTCATCTTTTTCTTCCTTTGCCTTTCTTCAGTCATGAAATAAATATTGAAGCTACTTGGAATCCTTTTAGTAACAACATTTATAAATAAATTATTAGATTGAAAGACTATTATATGTGAGGTTTGTCTGAGGAAATTCCAAAGTAAATGATAAAGTACTTAGTGCAGACTCTTTCCCTCTTCAAAGATCAAATCTAGTTTCAACCAGTTTCTTTTTCTACTATTCAAAAAACTATAAAATACTCTAACTTACCACACATCTTTGATTTATTTTTACCATGCCCATTTCTTTTGTTTCACTTTTTAAAAATTTGTTCTTTTGTTAGAAATACGTGACAGTAGAGTGTGTTTTGACATACTGTACCTACAAGGAGTATAACTTATCCTAATCCGAATCCCATTCTTGTGGTTGAACATGATGTGGAGTTTCACTGGTCATGTACTCATGTATGAACATAGGAAAGTTACGTCCAATTCATTCTACTGTCTTTCCTATTCCCATGCCCCTCCCTTCCCTTCATTCCCCTTTTTCTAATCCAATGAACTTCTCTTCTCTCCCCACCTTTATTGTGTGTGAGCATCCACATATCAGACAGAACATTCGGCCTTGATTTTTTTTTTTTTGGCATCAGCTGATGTCAATTAGCACGATAGCTTCCAGATCCATCCATCTACTGGCAAATGCCATAATTTCATTCTTCCTTATGCCAGAATAATATTCCCTTGTCTATATTTACCACATTTTCTTTATCTATTCATCTGTTGAAGGGCACCTACATCACATATTTTTTCATTTTAAAAAATATGTAAATCACAAAACATTCTATAACCGATGGTATGTGATAATTTAACTGGCAGAGCTTTTTTCTTTTTTAGTGCCATATGAAGTAATGATGCACTGTAGAATCAATGAAGCTGCAGGTCTGATGAAGTATTGTATTGCTGTGGTCATTCTCACATGTGCCTGGATGTCTTCAATAGAGTCTCCAGCTGTGCTGAATGTGCCTGTCTGCCCATCTCCAGACCTTGACTCTGCCTTCCCCTCCCCTGGATCGATGTAGTTCCTCATTTGCATGCCCACATATAACCCATTCTTTAACTAAAGGAATTTCCTAATCTTTTGGGCCACAATGAGGAAAACTTAAATATGCTCTTTAAGACCTATTGTCCATTTTGCCAATGAATCACATATTATTTTGCCTCAGTGAACTCTTTCAGGTACTTATGAATCATCTCTTCAGGAGACAATAAATTCTGGGAGGACAGAGTTTATTCATTTATCCTCATTTACTCTCTATGTAGCAAAGTATGGCACTTTGCAGTTAATAAAAGAAATTTGAAAAAAGAAGGAAAGATGATTGATCTTCTATCATTTAAATGATACTCAAGGCTAACTGATGGATTACTTGTTTTTCAGCCTTTCACAACCTTTAAATAAAGAAAAATTACAAGGATTTTACAGTGAGAACTCAGATGTTCTATCTAAAAATTACAACTAAACATTTATTACATTTGTTTTATTATATATGCATCCATAAATTTGCTTTTAAGTTCAAGCAATGATTAAGAATATTAAAAAATTGAGACAGGTATGGTGGTACAAGCCTGCAATCCCAGCTACTTGGGAGGCTGAGGCAGGAGGATCCTAAGTTTGAGGTCAGTCTCAGCAACTTAACAAGACCCTATCTTAAAATACAATAAAAAAAGGGCTGAGGGTGTAGCTCTGTGATAGAGTGCCCCTGCATTCAATCCCCAGTACTACAAAATAAAACAAAGAGTGGGTCTCTAATTCATGATACCTGATTTGCACTCTAACTATGGCTCAAATAGCAGGCATGGTAAAGGACCAAGTTAAAGACTAGAAGCTTAAGCACATGAGTTTTATGATTCTACACTTCCCTGATTTTGCCAGGCTACTCTTTTGCCTTTTTTCTGCAAAATAATGGAATATAAATCTTCAAAGGGGCTAAATGTTAATCATACACAACTCATGACTCATACCGAACACACAGAGAAATGTCAAGAATCTGTTTCTTTCTTTTTTTTTTAGTAGCTGACGGACCTTTATTTTATTTATTTATATGTGGTGCTGAGAATAGAACTCAGGGCCTTACACATGTCAGGCAAGTACGCTACCGCTGAGCCCCAGCCCCAGCCCAAGAATCCTAGTTTCTTACCTTGCATAATCAACAGGAGTTTTCCCACTAGAATCATGTGTGCCTGGGTCTGCTCCATATACTGCCAATAATTCAGCCTGTAAAATCTGCCCTGCTTTGGAGGCGACATGGAGTGGGGTGTTTCCTTTTTCCTAAGAATAATTAATAAAAAGTTGTCAGAAAAGCAAATTAGACAAACTAAAGCCTATTTGAATACAACTCAGTTTCAATTTAATATCTGAAGCAATTCACGTTTTCTTACAGGATGAAAGAAATTGGCTTGGGCTCCTAAAGACAACAGTCTCAGACAGGTTTCAAGATTTCCAGTTCTCACACTTGAATGGAGTTGCTGAAAAACACATAAACAAAAAATAATTTTCAAAAGCACCAGGAATGAGATAGTAGAGCAGCTGGTAGACTATTTTACCATACACAGCTTTAATAACACATAATCTTTATTTGGCTCAGTACCCTTTGCTGGTTACAACCATTCTTGAATTGGAAGGTAGATCAGGTTGACCTGCCCAAATGCAGGACTCATTCAAACAAGTGGCAAAACCAGAACCTGAGTGAGAGACAATATGAGGAGGATGGTTGAATGTGGCTTTGAAGTCTGACAGACCTGAATTTCAATCTCTTGCCCCTTCAACTTGTAGGACTTTGAGAAAGTTCCTTAAGTAAGCTGACCCTCAGTTTCCTCATCTTTAAAATAGTGATAACAGCCAGCCATGGTGGTACATGCCTGTAATCCTAGACAGAGGCTTGGGAGGCTGAGGAAGGAGGATTGAGAGTTTGAAGCCAGCCTTGGCAACTCAGTGAGGATGTAAGCAACCTAGTGAGAACCTGTCTCAAAATAAAAAGGGTTGGGGATGTGGCTTAATGGTTATGCACCCTTGGGTTCAATCCCTGGTACTAAAAAAAAAAAAAAAAAAAGGAGTGAGAATAATGCTACCTATTGACAAGGTTATTGTAAGGATTCAATGATATAATAAAGTGCTTGAAGAGTTCAGATGCCGTTATTAAAATAATAATTATTAGTTGCTGTCATTGTTACTGAACCTAGGGATTCAAATTCTATGCTATGCAAGTTATAGGACTCTGCCTTACACTGTACCCTCTCCACAATGCTATTCCTGGCTTATACACAATGATTTACAGAAGTCTCTTAGGGTGGGAAATAGGGCTGTGCCACACCAATTCTGTACTATTGCAGAAAAGTTCATCACCAGTAAGAAAATGAGCTGAATTCCTTAAAGGCTCTAAGATTCAATAACCCTCATCATAGGAACGGAAAAACTACTCTAGCACTCCATTCAAATACCTTTATTTTTTTTGAAAAGCTGGTTAAAAAGAAAACCCCCTGAGTCTTATTAACTAGAAGAAGTAACAATTATACACTTCTATGCAAAATTTAATATTCTGAACTGTGATCATCGCCCCTGCTCCATGCAGTGAGATTTGTCAGAAACAATGTTTTGAGAATACAGATGTGCATTTCTTATGGCATCCCTCAAAAACATGCTGAAGCCACATAAAGAAAACCATCCACTCATTCCACAAGTATAATGAACGATTCTGTGTGCTACAGCTTTGAGTCACACCCTATTTTCTGAAGACCATTCTTACTGTTCAACCTGTAAACCCGAGGAAGTTAGCCCTGTCTTTACTATGTTTTTCTAGTACTTATTAGAAACAATGGTTTAAATTTTTTTCAGTCCCTTCTAGAAACAAATTTTGAGATGGCTCCAATTCCAAACATAAATAAAAATTTATCAAAATACAGTTTAAAAACCATATTGAGAAAACAAATAGCTTTGCATATACTTATTTCTCCCCTTTACCTTTGTACCCCATTACAATAAATGGCTTCCACTCGAATTAAAATTAGAGATGAAGCTAGGCGTGGTGGGGCAAGACTATAATCCCAGCAGCTCTGGAGGCTGAGGCAGGAAGATCACAAATTCAAAGCCAGCCGCAGCAACTTAGCAGGCCCCAAGCAACTTAGTGAGATCTTGTCTCAAAATAAAACACAAAAAGGTCTGGAGATGTGGCTCTGGGTTCAATGTTGAATCCCCAGTATTTAAAAAAAAAAAAAAATTACAGATGAAACTGATTATAAAAAAAAGCTGATACTGATTATTTAATGTACAAAAATGAGTTTTTCTTTTTTCCCTTTTGAGCGCCCCCCTTACAAAAATGACAATATGCTGTCTCATCCAGATCTCTTAGGGACTTTCAAAAGGTTATGACCCACCTTACTAAGATCTTTGGCAGTCACACTATCATCATCCCGGCAGGGTAAGCGGTGGACAAACGCTAACATCTGATACTTGGCTCTGATGAATTCTGCTTTATTGGGACTGGTTCATAAACAAAAAAGAAAACAGTTCATTCACAGTTCAGATACAACATTCCCCATTCTTTATACTGTAAAAAGAGAGGAAGTGGCCCACATCCCCCACTAAGTGAACAATGCTGAAATAAGTTTCAGGAGCAAGACCTGAAGTCTGAAAACACACATTAGTCATAATGACTGGTACTGCAGAATACCTGCTTTTTATAGCAGTTTTCTTCTCTGTGTAATTTTCTCAATTGATTGCAACCCTGGGAGGAAGTGGCATTCAGTCTCATCTTATAGGTGAGGCCTACGTCAGACTGGTGCCCAGTGCATAGATTTCTGATCTGCTTGCCTCTTGCTTGAGTGCTGAGGTTTCAATTTGATTACATCTATAGCCTCCAAGTCATGGTCTCCAACTGGAGTAACCATTAACTCCTGTCCAGTAATCATGCAAAACAGATGGTCCCCACCTGCCTCATTCCGAGTTTCTACCAGTAAAGAGCCCATGTGCAACTGGGGTAACTACCTCCTGCACTGCCCTGGTGGAGGCTGATCAAAAATAGCTGGACTCCATTTAGTGGGTCCCATTTGTTATGAAGAAGTAGAAGTATTTATAAACATTCCACTCACTGTACTTTATCCTGTGGATTAGCTTTACGTCTTCCACTCGTAATGGAGGCAGGGTCCAGTAAAGAATGCTCCCATATAGAATTTGCACCATTGTTATATAAGGTCTCAACCATCTAAAATCAAGCAGTATGAAATCATATTTTAATTTTTTTACATAAATATTAGAAGAGAATCAGTGACAAGTAGAAAACAAAGCCCCTATACATATACTAAGATGTTTTGATTATTATTCATGTTATTGTTTTCTGATTTTAGAATGAGAAAGATGAACCTGTATTCGGGATCTAGTTTTGACCAGCAGGGCAGTTAAATCTTTAAATGGGTTTGACTGTACTCTAGTCATATATTGAGGGATGAGGAACATTTTAGGGCAGTGTTTCCCAAGCCTGAACAAATACTATTTTACCCACATATTAGCTATACTAGTCACAACATTTTTCTTTAAATCTGCTCATTTTCAAAACTTATATTGATAATTATGGTATATGTGTTAGTTACAGTTTTCTCATAACACAACTATACAAATACATATTGGATTATGACCTACATCTGTCTTGAGTACCACTGATGGCTATGGTCCATATTTTGGGAATTATTGCTTTAGAACCAACCCTGGCATTTTAATTAAAATACTCATCTCTGAACTTAAATTCAGATTCTATAATATAGTATGGCTTTGTAAACGCAGACCTGGGAACAGTATACAATCCCTTTCATAGGACAATGGGCTACTGGAAACTTCTAAGCAAAAATTATTAATAATCCACACCTCCCAATTTCATCTCAAAGCAGACTCCTAAAATGTTTCCATCTTCTTTTTATATTCATAGAGATATTTTCACATCAGAGATCCAAACCTACTTGTTTGTGCCCCTTGGTTCATGCAAGCAAGTTTAAGGGCTATGCAGCTGCCATAGATTTAGTGATGTGTACTCAAGACAAATGAAGGCAAAAAGCACACTTAATCTTAAGTTCCAGGAGAACTTGAAGAATGTGTACCCCAAATAAAAGTACATGTAACATGACATCAGACCCCAAATAAGACAAAGAGCCCACTTAACATTCAATAGAGTGTTAGGCATGCAATCAAAACACATTAACTTAATTTGGTCTGATTAGTAATGACAGCTTCAAAAAACGTAAATAAGATACTTCAGAAATTTCTAAAGAACCCCAGTCCTCCTATTAAAAAAAAAAAGTTCTAAAGATATTAGTAGGTACTCGGGATTAGGTACAGTAATGAAAAGTTTTTCAGGCAGCAGCTTTTGGAAAATAATTTAAAAATAATTTCTGGGGATAATCTAGAAGGTCAACAGTGAAATATTACTAGAAAATTTTAATTTTTATCTATCTATAATTGAGCTTTTGGAACAAGATTTATGTTAGGAGTGGAACAATCTTAAATGATAAATTCAATATGGAGAGTATTTATACTCTATATCAATGGGCAAAAACCTCTATTGGATTATGATCCAAACATTTTATAAGATTTAAGAAGTATACTAGAAAAAGTAGGCATAGTGGCATAAGCCTGCTACCCCAGCTACTTGGATTGGTGGGGCAGGGGGATTGAAAGTTCCAGGCCAGCCTGGGCAACTTGGCAAAATCTGCAGGTTAAAAAAAAATATGTGTGTGTGTGTGTGTGTGTGTGTGTGTGTGTGTGTGTATATGTGTATTTATTTATTTATTATTTTTAAAAAATATTTGTTTTGTTAGTTATAGGTGGATACAATTATTATTTCATTTTTATGTGGTGCTGAGAGTAGAACCCAGTGCCTCACCCGTGCTAGGCCAGCCCTCTACCACAGAGCCACAACCTCAGCCCTGTATGTGTATTTATATATATACACACACATATATACATATATACATAAACATATATTTTAGTTGAGAAATTTTATTTGCTAAAACATAAATTACAAACTGTGTTCTTCTTACCCCTTACCTGAAGCAGTGTTGGAGGCCACGGTGTGTGTTTCAGATGCCTTACTTGGGAGATATGACGCCCTAGACTCCGATGCACACTGCAACACTCATCACATATGAAAGTTCCCCTATTTACTGATGCCCAGGAAGGATCTGGAAAGATAATGAAATCTTAGTGACAAGAATACTAGCTGGTATATATGACAGAATGGCAAAAGATATCTGATGTTTGGTTTTATAGAAAAGCAAACCATTTTTGTTGTTTTAGCACGCTTGTCAACATATCGTGCTGGTAATCACACCCAATGACACTACCTACCTGGCTGATGAAGCACAATGTTAACTAACACCAAGGGCCCTAAATGAACAGTTTCCTTCTTTCTGGTTCAGGGCTATAATCTATAACCCTAATGTGGATCTACCATCTTAGTTGGAAGCTCTCTCATTCAACATAAGAAAAGCAAACTGAGAGAGTACAGATGAATCTCCGCAAAGAGCAAGATAATATAATTTTAACAGTGAATTATCAACAGTGGTACCTAAAGTAAATGAAATGACTTCTGTCCTAATGCACTGCTACAAATCAACATGTCTTCAAGTTAATGGAAAGCTGTGAGTGACAGGATTACTGAGTTGCTAGGGTTCTAAGGAAGGGGAAATTCGGCTTCCTCCCATAGAAAATAGTCTATGGTATCCATTAGTTGTTTATAACAAACTACTGAGTCCAAGCTTGCAAGTGATCTGAAAGAAAAGAAGCTGCTTCACGGAGACAAAGATGTAAGATAAAAATAAGTAATATATTTGATGTGTGTATTAATATTTTTTTTTCTTTGAAATTCCACAGAGCTTCAATAGACATCCTTTCAAACAACAAGTAATACATACTTAGTAAGCAGGATGGATCTGCATAAGTAAACTGAACACCAAAACCCAAATAAAGACAAACCTCTACCTTTCAAAAGATTCACAATAGGGTGACAACAGGTGCCACCCAAGCTGTCTGGTCTAAGGATTCTATTTTAAAATTCTTCAATGTCCTCAAAAACCTCTAAAATGCATACACATCATCTTTACCATTTTTAACAGTTTATTCAAACCCTTTCAAACCATATAATAAAAAGTTATGGAGGGGGCTGGGGATATAGCTCAGTTGGCAGAGTGCTTGCCTAGCATGCACAGGCCCTGGGTTCAATCCTCGGTCCCAACAAAAAAAAAAAAAAAAAAAAAAAAAAGTTATGGGATTGGCTGGGGATATAGCTCAGTTGGCAGAGTGCTTGCCTAGCATGCACAGGCCCTGGGTTCAATCCTCGGTCCCAACAAAAAAAAAAAAAAAGAAAGAAAAGTTATGGGATTCCAGTCAAAGACAAATACTGGAAGCCAAAGAGTGTGGTGGTTAGGAGGGCTGGCTGTGGAGGCACACATTCATGGTTTGAACCCCCATAACTGTCATTTCTTGCACAATGACCTCAGGCAAGTTACTTGAGTATCCTCACCATGGGTGAGGTGGGAATAAAACACATCTCCAGGGTGTGAGAATATAAAGTAGCTCTCCTATGGTAAGTATTCAGAAATATTAGCTGTTATAACTTTTCTAAATTATTTTCTAATTATCATTCAAATATTTTAAAGAACTCACTGAAATTTATGATCACTGGAAAAAGTTTTTGATTTGAGATACTTGTAACATCGAATGTTTCACACAAATACTGTGCCACTGTAATAGAAATTTCAGCAGTTTTTAGGCAACTTAAGTCTATGATATATTTAAAATGAACTAGATTCACTAAAAAACAATATTTAAGAAGACATGCTTGCTGGGTGCATTGGCACACGCCTATAATCCCACCAACTTTGGGGGGTTGAGGCAGAAGGATCACAAATTCAAAGCCAGCCTCGACAACTTAGTGAGGCCCTAAGCAATTTAGTGAGACCCTGTTTCAAAATATAAAATAAAAAGGTCTGAGGATGTGGTTCAGTGGGTAAGCACCCCTGGGGTCAATCCCTGGTACCAAAAAAAAAAAAAAAAAGGATATTATTGTAATTAAATATTTGTTCACCATGAAAGAAACAAAGAAGTAAAATACAACAATTCAGCAAAGTGTAACTGTCAGTACCACTATGCTATTCTAAACAGCAAAAACCAGAAACATCAAGATGAAAGATCCCTATGAAGATACATCACACAACACTGCTAAGGACACAACAGGCTGAGAGCAGAGCTTTGGTTTTCACATATCATTCAGAGGATTCACAGTATTCTTGGAAGAAATTAAACAGGAACAAGACAACATCTAATTGTGGTTTTTGAGTACTTCTTTAAACATCATGGATCAGAAAACCCACAGAAAGAATATCAGAATATTAGCAACCTAGAAAAATTAAAACTGAATTTGTAGTAATGAGGTTGGATAAAACTCTTCCAGTTTATCTGGATGCAGGGCTTAACTTAGGCTCCATGGTCACTATAAATTGACTTTGAAAATGTCTGCATCCTCCCCGACAACTTAGGTAAATTCTGTGGGAAAGAGTAAGTATAGGTACATTTTTCCAGGGAGAAGACCTTAGTGTTCATCAGACTGTCAAAAGGGTCCCCTAATCCTATAGGTAACTCTTTCACCAGGGCATGTAGAAAAGGGAGCACAAATCCCTAGCTCAAATTCACAGAACACTTCAAGGTAGCCTCATTATGTTCAAAACAGGAAGGAAATGACTCAAGTCTCTGTAGGTTTGGTATTCAAGGCAACTAAAACGATACAATGGAAGAAAAAAATGTTCTGAAATGCACAAAATGCTGCAAAAATACAAGATAGTATTTAGAGTGGCTACAGAAGAGCAATTTGCTTTTGCCCCATATACTCCATCAGGAACCAAACAATATGTATCTCAAGAGGAAGTTTGAAGCCAGACACATGTGAATCAAACTGATCACAGAAAGCTTGACTGAAAACGTGCAAGAAAAGAAGGAAGTGGAACAAATTAACATTTTTAGAGAAAATGACAGTCTGTATAAACTTGATGTATAAATTCTCTTCTTAAAGTCCTCCATTCCCACCTTCAAAGGAAATTGGAAACACCACCTGTACTATCCAACTCATGAAATAACCATATAAGGTTGAGTTATCACAATACTATTTAAAATCAGTCTTTGTTTCAAGTGACAAGATGAAAATTGGAACAGCTGCAAAGCCACTGGTTTTCAAAGATTTACTTAAGATTGCTAATCGGACCCTGTGGAACCAAAATATATATATATTTATGATATTTATATATCATCTGGCATTTGAATTATTTCAAACTCAAAGTAGCTAAAATCCAAGGACCAAAACCAACATATAATAATCAATTGAGTTCCAATTACTAAAACAGATCCGATTTTTAAATCTCAATAGTATGTGATGGGAGAAGGGTTTGGGCCTTAGCTCTCATATATGCTTATGTTACCAGTGACTGTGTGGGTGTCTGGTAACTGTAATGCATGTACCATTTAGAAATTCCACGCTAGTTTTAGGGGACTGCAAGGGTTCTGAACTGAATAACAGGGGGAAAAAGAAAAAAGAAAAAACAGAAGCAGCAGCTCGGATGAAAGGATTCTTAGAAGAACCACTGAATCTCCCTAAACGTAGAGCATGGTACTCATCAGGTTATTCTCATCAGCAAAATGAGGAAATCAAGCCTTGGACAAGTGAAGTCACCAGTCCAAGGTCATTCAGAGGCAAAATCCAGAGTGATCCTAGGCCCTTGGGATCTCCAAACTTGAGACTCCCACTGACTCCTAAGAGCTGGTAGTGTGTGAAAGACCTGCAGATTCTTCCCGTGGAGCGGCTGCCGGGATGTCAGGAGCAGAGACGTCATCCACCCAGACCCTCTGGCAAGTGTCCAAGAGCTGAGCTGGGAGTGTCGCCCACCCTGGGTTGGCGGGGCGGGGGTCTGGTGAGGGGTGACACCTGCAGCCTCTGGGGGCCGCAGCCGGGAGGACGCTCGCATTACTTCTGTAATCGGGTCTTCCTGTGGATTGCCCAAACCCCTTCCTGTCGGGGGAGCGGC